ACATAATTTTTTATCTTCCCTCCATCACTATTAAGTTTAAAGCCTTGCATGGTTTAACTTCTGTTCACATATTGTTCATTAGCATATAATGCATTCTCCTTAATAAAATCCTCATTGCAACATACATTCTTTTTTTATTTCTTTTTTGTAGGTATGTGTAGTATAACCATGAAATTAACTTCTCTGTATTAATAAAAAGATAGCTTTATTTCAGTACTATGCAAAATCGCTGTCCCGTCCCCTGTAATGAGACCTTGTTTGGGTGTCTTTTTAGGAAGAGAATATACAGAGTAAATGAAAAGATCGAAGCTGCAACACGTCACTCTGTCTCTGCCACCAGTGACAAATTTGGTGTTGCTCTTCAGTACAGGCCATGACAAACTACAACGGGATGAAGAAAATGGTGACAGTCATTGTCGTATTTTTTAATTAATGACTGCTGCCAATTTAGTGACCCTTTGGAGCATTACAGCCTCAAGTTCTGGATTTGTTCACATTACCATGTTGTTGGCTGTTAACTGTAACATGCTTCTAGCTAAGCAGATTGCGTATTTCCTTGTGCATATGGCATTGTCTTACCACATTTCTAATGGAACTGCTACCAAATACATACTTGTTTAGAATTGTAAGTACTCACCTAACAAGTACACACCATCATCCCTAATCTTATCTGACGTGCAGTGGATGGAAGGTGGCAGTTCATCAGAATCAACATTGATATCATGAAGTGGGATAAGTCGTGGGTAAAAGAACACGACAGATGATGGAATATCCATTATTGTAACTGCTTGCATTATAAATGATCGATCATCGATAGTCATGTCAGATCCTGTAATCAGCATATTCATAATTATTACGAAAACACTTTCAATTTCCACAATAAACAGAGACAAGAATGTGGCTTTTTAGTCTGAATAGTCAAACAAGTACTATTTCTTGAACTGGTTGTAACAGCTGTTTAATGCTTGGTTGCTTTGTTGTCATGAGATAAAATATTGAAGAAAAATGTTTGAGAAGGATTATTAAAGAAAAATGCAGGAAAATGTCCAAAAAGCGCACAAAACTAAGAAACTTTGAAAAGTTCCGCATTCAAATTTTTTCGAAAATTTGTAATTTTTTTTTGTTATTTTCCCTTTTCACAACATTTACAACCATTTTTACATTTTTCAAAATTTAACGAAATTTTCGAAAAATCAAAAAATGCAGGAAAAGGTCCAAAAAGCACACAAAACTAAAAAAAATTGAAAATTTCTGCGAATTTTTCGAACATTTTTATTTTTGTGGGCTGTTTAGACTATTTACATAGTTTTCCGATTTTTCGAAAAATTTAAAAAATTCGAGATTTTTTCTGAGCTTTACATACACCATCCCTATCAGAACTGTTCTCTCCTGCACCCGGTCTCTGCCTCACCAAGTTTCAACCACATTCGGTCTGTGCTTCACACGGCTCTGCTGAATGTGTCCGTGCTACACCCAACCTCTGCTTGACAAGGCCTGTGCCACACAGGGTCTCTGATGCAGTCTGCACTAGTTATTATGGCACTCATACTATGACACAAACTTCAAAAGTACATAATTTTTTATCTTCCCTCCATCACTATTAAGTTTAAAGCCTTGCATGGTTTAACTTCTGTTCACATATTGTTCATTAGCATATAATGCATTCTCCTTAATAAAATCCTCATTGCAACATACATTCTTTTTTTATTTCTTTTTTGTAGGTATGTGTAGTATAACCATGAAATTAACTTCTCTGTATTAATAAAAAGATAGCTTTATTTCAGTACTATGCAAAATCGCTGTCCCGTCCCCTGTAATGAGACCTTGTTTGGGTGTCTTTTTAGGAAGAGAATATACAGAGTAAATGAAAAGATCGAAGCTGCAACACGTCACTCTGTCTCTGCCACCAGTGACAAATTTGGTGTTGCTCTTCAGTACAGGCCACGACAAACTACAACGGGATGAAGAAAATGGTGACAGTCATTGTCGTATTTTTTAATTAATGACTGCTGCCAATTTAGTGACCCTTTGGAGCATTACAGCCTCAAGTTCTGGATTTGTTCACATTACCATGTTGTTGGCTGTTAACTGTAACATGCTTCTAGCTAAGCAGATTGCGTATTTCCTTGTGCATATGGCATTGTCTTACCACATTTCTAATGGAACTGCTACCAAATACATACTTGTTTAGAATTGTAAGTACTCACCTAACAAGTACACACCATCATCCCTAATCTTATCTGACGTGCAGCGGATGGAAGGTGGCAGTTCATCAGAATCAACATTGATATCATGAAGTGGGATAAGTCGTGGGTAAAAGAACACGACAGATGATGGAATATCCATTATTGTAACTGCTTGCATTATAAATGATCGATCATCGATAGTCATGTCAGATCCTGTAATCAGCATATTCATAATTATTACGAAAACACTTTCAATTTCCACAATAAACAGAGACAAGAATGTGGCTTTTTAGTCTGAATAGTCAAACAAGTACTATTTCTTGAACTGGTTGTAACAGCTGTTTAATGCTTGGTTGCTTTGTTGTCATGAGATAAAATATTGAAGAAAAATGTTTGAGAAGGATTATTAAAGAAAAATGCAGGAAAATGTCCAAAAAGCGCACAAAACTAAGAAACTTTGAAAAGTTCCGCATTCAAATTTTTTCGAAAATTTGTAATTTTTTTTTGTTATTTTCCCTTTTCACAACATTTACAACCATTTTTACATTTTTCAAAATTTAACGAAATTTTCGAAAAATCAAAAAATGCAGGAAAAGGTCCAAAAAGCACACAAAACTAAAAAAAATTGAAAATTTCTGCGAATTTTTCGAACATTTTTATTTTTGTGGGCTGTTTAGACTATTTACATAGTTTTCCGATTTTTCGAAAAATTTAAAAAATTCGAGATTTTTTCTGAGCTTTACATACACCATCCCTATCAGAACTGTTCTCTCCTGCACCCGGTCTCTGCCTCACCAAGTTTCAACCACATTCGGTCTGTGCTTCACACGGCTCTGCTGAATGTGTCCGTGCTACACCCAACCTCTGCTTGACACGGCCTGTGCCACACTGGGTCTCTGACGCGGTCTGCGCTTCACCCAGTCTCTGCTTTACACGGCACCTACCTCACACGATCTCTGCTTGAGTCATTCTGTGCCTCACCGTCTGTTGAACCAGGTCCTTGCAGGGACGGCCTGTCTGTACCTCACCCACCTCTGCTGACACGGTCTGTGCTTCACCCAAACTGCGCTGGACACTGCCTGTGCCACACAGGGCCTCCCCTTGCAGCGCTCTGTGCTTCACCCTGTCTCTGCTTGACTCGGTCTCTGCCTCACATGTAGATAGATTGAGTCGGTTCAACGGTCACAGTCTGTCGAAGGTGGTCTTTGTAGCGACGGCCTGTCGGAAGTCGGGGCTAACTCTTATGGTTTAGAGTTTTGGCCATTTATTTAGTAACAAAGAACGGTTCTAGAGTGAGTGTGTAGAGTACATGACGCAACACGTAGATAAGCTGTCGGCGGATGTCACGTATAGATAAGATGTAAAGGTATACATTAATGTGTAAATAAAATTTTATTTCAGTACAAATATAATTCTACAGTTAAACGTTATTCAACGTTAAGTAGGGAACCGTGGTTCCACTGTCAATTTTTTACATTTGAAAATGCTGTTCCTAGATATATGAAAAAAATCATCTTTCCTTTAGAAGTCTTCCACAGAGATATTTTTTACACATTAAAATGTCCTGCAAAAACAATTTCAGTGTGATTTTAATTATAATTCTTATTTAGAATATAATAGTACATTGAACATAATTGTATTCTATTCGTATTACTTGCTCAATTGTATTCAATTGTCTGATAATCTTTAAAAAGTATTTCTCTGACTTTCATCAAATGATTTCTATACCAATACTGCACTGGAAATAAGAATGCCTGAAGGAAGAACTATATTTTTCCTCCAATACCTGGTAATGTGCCACAAAAAATATAGTTCTCCATATCTTACTGTATCTTAACCTAATTAATTTTAATAATATTGTGAGACAGCTGCTAAAAAAAAAGGTCTGCCTGCAGAGTGTCTATTGGCCAGAACTGTTTGAATCATCTTCCATCTTTGCTGCAGTCATCTGCTGCAGTAGGGCCATCAATATTTGAAACCTGCTTCTTATCTGAAAAGAAACCCATCTAATATGCAATAGATACAATCCATGTGCAAATACCAACAGTTAAGAATTACAAATTCTATCATTGAGACTTCAGCCTATAGGAACATGGGGTTTAAATCTCTATATTACAGAGCTGCCAGCTGGACTTTAGGCCCTGGATTAACAATTTAGCAGTATGATGGCCTCTGGATCATGTGTAAGCTGCATGGACAATAAAGGTTAAATGATCACACATGTACTCTTTCCTCTTTTAGGTATACATCATAACAAAATTAAAGTGTTCATTAACTTCTTCATGTGCCTGTACACAAATAACAATACACACTTCATGAACAGATTTTTAATCACTTTATGTAACAAGAATTCTTATAAAATAAAATATTATATTCTTTGACCACATGGGAAAATCTGGGCAGCCCTTTTGGGTGATACATGACATTTTCACAATAACTCAAACTAAAAGTCATGAGAATGTTTTCTACTTTAGACAAGTCTCAGTCAGCACAGTAAACATGTTTCTTAGAAACAACACTGCATTTTGAAGCTGTTTATCATATTAAGTAACTAGAAATAGCTGCAGGTCAGGGAAGATAATAAATAAACACTTACCTCGTCCAAAGTGCGGAGAGGGAGCTGTTCACTGATTTTGATAAATGTCTGCTCCATACTACAGTCCAACTGAAACATCTGAAGTATAATCTTATCTTCTTCTCTGGTCCATAAACCTGAAGTGGCATCACTATTACAACCTGCCTCATTTGATTCATTGGGTTCATCATCCTGATCTATCTTTGCACTTTCAGAAGCTGATACCTGACCATCATATTCTGACATCGTAACATCAATCATTGTTGTATCACAAGCAGCAACCTCCATAACACTCATGTCTTCACATTCTGAAACATAATCAACTTCACACGATGCTCGACCACAAGTCTCAACATTTGAACCTGCAGATCCTTCTACATTACCTGACAAATTACCTATATCTGCAGGGTCAAACCTGGCATCCTTCCTGCTGTGAATGGCATCTGGCAGTATACTTAAGTCCCCTGCACTTAAATTTACAGGTGCTGTATGTGGAGGCAAAACAGCGCTTTCATCATGCGCTATTTCCGGCAATGAAATACACAGACTACCACAAAAACCAGTTACAGCGGGGAGGACCGGGTTGGGCCATTCCGTGCTAATGGCAGGAATGGACAATATTGTGTTCTCAGCATTATTTAACACAGTGCTTGGAGTATTGCTATCAGTAACAGCTGTGGAGGAAACAGATGTCCTGTCATGAAATACAGGAGAATGCTGACCACTGTTGTTTCTACATGATACTTTCGGCACAGTAATACAAAGCGAGGAACTGTTAATGTCACTTGCAATATTATGCAGCAATACCACGGGCTTCGTTGAAAGAGAAATCTGTCTGCTGCAGCTGAGTCTACTGGAACGGACAGAAGCAGACTGTTTCTGCTCCTCTTTGTGAACTGAAGTCCCTCTCTCTTCATGAGTGAAGCCCTTAGAAGGGCTCATAGTCTTCACAGGATTAGCTTTTTCACGCCCCTTATAGGTGGTACCAGAAGATTTTGTTTTAGATGTACGAGCATGTTTTGGTGAAGATGACTTTATATTTGATTTAAATGTTGTGTTATTGGCTCCTCCATTTTCATTTACCTCATTACATGCATCAGCGCTATGGCTGTTATTAACATGTTTCACTGGCGAGTTGTCTTTACTGCCACTGGCAACTTCAGTATGACTTGCTGCTCTCCTTCTACTTCGCCCCTTGGGTTTACTTTTGGCTGATAGCCTGTTGATGCTGTCATCAATACTTTCAGTGTCAAATACAACTTTTGCGGGTCGCAGGACTTTCCCTGTCTGCAGAAATACTTTCCCATGAATAAACTGAAACATAATAATGATTTAATCTTAGGCCATTTATATATATATATATATATATATGTAGATAGATAGATAGATAGATATAGAGAGCTTTGAATAAGATGAGAAGATGGAATAATAACACATGGATAAAACCACACTGGCATATTTGCAGATACTAACCCAGGATTTGCCTAGACAGACTAGAAAATACCTACAAATATTGTGAATAAGCACAACCCCATGACATGTGACAAAGAGTAATCCTCCTGCCATTTGTAACTAAATGAAAGAATGAAGCATAAGATAGCTGACTTCATATGTCTTACCCTAGTGCCACAGGACATACAGTGTGCAGCTTGGCTGTGATACTTGTCATCACGGGAGCTGTGACAGGTGCAGGCACAAGTATCACCACCATATGCATCTTGCTGGTCTGGCACAACAAGCGTCTCAAACAGATCTTCCTCACCCAGCTGTTCATTATCCACATCTCCAAGAACCATGTCTTCAAATTCTGGCATCAGACTAAGCACAAATTATAAATTATTCTCATCATTATGTTTCAGTAAACATTAAAACCTTAAAAATATACCAATAAAAAATATTTCTGATCCTTGGGTTATTTTCTTATGCTTTTTCAACTGTACATGTAAAACTGCATTAAATAGTACTATGATAATGAATCATAAATTGAAACATATGTGAAAGAATGTGGCCCCGATGACAGAGGCAGAATTGCCCTCTGAAATTTCAGTCAATTTCTATGAAACTAAACAGTGCAACAGACCAGAAGATTAATGATTCATGATTAATTTCATTACTTAAAACTTTTTACACTATGCAAACTGAAATTTTAAGGATTCCTTCAGGCACCTCTGACTGAGGAAATTGTTTTACATTTTTGAAATGTAAGACTATTTAATGGTGTAGACCAATTAATAACAACACGGGAGGTTTAATTAATGTCCGAAGCAAGAGGTGGATTGCCTTCTAGAACAAAACTATAATTTTCAAACACATTAATACAATAGTTCAATAACCTTTTCCTATATTATTACATAAATTCCATGCAGCAAGTTCCTTCTTCAGAACCTGATATTTTCTCAAGCACCAACTTTGTCCAATTTGACAATTTTGCCCCATGCATATTACAATTAGCCCCCACCTCATTCTCCTTGATTTTATTACACCATAACAAATTATGAAGCTCCTCAGTATGCAGTTTTTTCCAGAAATGCCTATGCATAGTCTGACTACAAGCTTGGAAACATCCATGGAAGATGAAGGAAGCTTACCTCTCTGCAGGTTTTTCATGTGGCAATAAAGCCAAAAAGTTGTCTATTAAGAGAGAATTGCCTTTAAGTAAGGGGAGTATAGCACTACGGACATCTGCAACTGAAACGCTTGCTTGGTTACTCAATGCAGACAGATTTGTATAAATTTTTTGCATTTGTTGTGGCTGCTTCTCAAAGTAAATCTGGAAAGATAAAATCATAAAAATGTACATATTAGTCTGTCTTCCTGTAGCTGCTCCTCCTCCTTCAATTTCTTCCCACATTCCTTTTTCCTTCTGTAACATTAATAAGTTGAGTAAAAAAAGTAATTTCAGTTAGAAACAGATTTGGATGACAAACTATACACACCTCTAACTTCCGAAAGAAGTCTCTCATTTTAGTCACCATGAGATATTCCATAAACTTTCCACATTGCATTGCTTGCTCTGGAAGAAGGAAAGCCACAAACTCTTCACAGAGGTCAGGATGCTGATTTAGTACTGCAGTTACTTTCTTGTATAAATCAGACACATCTGCAATACTTGTTCCAAATTCATTCATTATATGCAGGAATTCTTGGTATATATCAGTTCCTTCAAGTCTCTCCTTCACTTTCAAGAAATATGCCTGTGCAAATCCTGTAACACAAGCACAGAACTACTAGAAGAAATTTAAAAAATCTTAAGATACGATCCATAATGACAACCGTTCATGCCATTTAACTCCAAGCCTTAAAAAGGCAGAGCTAGAAGGAAGGAAAGTTAGTGTGATACCACGCTCATCATTCAGTCAAAATAAGATTTATCCAATGAACACTAAATAAGAGGAATGTGCACTAGTAACACAGGAGTGACGGTTTCCACGCAGAATGTTATCTGATGCATAAATCAAGCCGTAATAAGCAGAGTCAAAATAACTACAGATATGTCCACACACCAAGTAAACTGACACAGACAATACATCTTCCTACAGTTGGTGAGAAGCCATCACAAAAACCATATCTGTGTTATAGAAGGGGAAACATAACAAAACCAGACAAAGAATGTATATTTTTTAAATCAGACTCTGACTGCTCATAATATACGAGATGCAATCGGAAAGTTTCAAGACTGTGTCAATAGACGGCGAACCGGATGTAGTACGAGGTTCTGCCGCTAGGGGGTGCGGCCTACATTCATAGTGAATCAGTGTGCCAGCCTGCATCATCGAATTAGCATTTGTTTCTTAGTTACGGGCGTTTTGGTAGTGCATTACACCGACCCTCCTGCGATTTCGGAATGGCGTGTGCATCAAATTTTGCCAAAGACTCGCCAAAACGGCTACAGAAACCTATGAAATGCTAAAGCAAGCATTTGGGGAAATACTTCGAAATGGGTCGTGCACAAACTTTTGTGAGGCATTC